TTCATAGTTTTTCGAATATTACAATGTTGTACGATAATTAAGTCTACTGGTTGTTCTCCTACAAACTTTCCCAAACTCCCGATGCTAATGCCATGACCAGGTCCACAATCTACGCTTTTGATGGTCAAGTTTTTGGTACCATCACCAATAGAGATACAATCATCACCTGTTGAAATTTTTGTATTGGCAATAATAACACCATTTGATCGACCAATATGGATTCCATCAGTATTGGGGCTTTGCTCAGGAGCAATGGTATTCACGTGTTCAATAACAAAATTCTTGCAACCTAGTACGTTGATGTGAAAGAATTTAGGATTTAATGAAGTTATGCCAGTTACATGTCCATTGCTGATGAAATCGAACCTCATACTCTGTATTTTATTGATTGTCAAGTAATAAATTAATTTAAGAAGTAAATAAAATTTTAAAATAGTATATACATATATAGATAAAGAGTTAAGGTTACGTACAATGGGAATTTTTTTGCAATTAGAGTTTGTAGAACAATCATTGTAAGGCCAAGCGGAGGCACCTTGGCCATCTATGGTTCCGTTACCACTCAATGTGAAACCATCCATATAGCCAAAGTTAATCCAATTATCAAGCCCAAGAAATTGTTTAGGGGCAGAAGGACCCTTCAATGTGCCTTCAATCCGAATTTCAATAGGAGCCTTGCAAGGACCATAGAGAATCACTCGCTCTAAACCAAATAAGGCTTTGGGAATCAAAACTTGGCTAGGACTCGTGGAAGCACATGCTTGTTTAAATGCATTACATAGTGCCTAACACAATTTAGGGGGGAGAAAAAAAAGTTAGTACTAAGATATAGAAAGTAATGACAATCTACAGCAAATTTGTCACCTCTCATTGCATATAGCATGTTAGGATTTTAATCTCACACTATGTAATTATGATAATCCAACCATTACATGTCTTCATATTTTATATATCTAGCTATGTGGAATTAAAATTTATTTAGGTGAAACTATATGACCTGGCTAATATCACTTTTGCCGCCTGGTATTGCACCATACTTGGTCACATCAAAAACTCGAACACCATTAGCATTAGATGCCAGGAGGAAGAAGAAGAAGAAGATGACAGCTTCAAACTGGAAAGAGGCCATTTTTATTGGATTTTGCAGGTTAGATGAAATTCTGAGTTATGAATATATCTCTGTTTTTGGAGGAAGCTAATTTAAAATGCTTGCATTATTAGGAAATGATTATTATGATGACCACCTGAATATCTAAGCATAAAAGTTGACCCTAATCCAAGCTAGCTAGATTTAGGACATCCGATGACAAGGATTTGTTATTCTTAGTGTCTCAAGTGCCAAATTTAACCTTGTAACAACATGAATACGGTTTTTTTGGTTGTTTAAATGAGGTAATTTTTATGTAATCTAATAATTAAAAGAAAAAATTAACTAGACTTTCTTAATTTATTAATCAATGTCAACTTTTCTATTTTTATAATCTCAGACTTGATGTAATATTTAAATAAAATTCTAAACCATATTGTTTTAAACCATCTCACACGCAATTTTGTTAATGGAATTGGAAGTAGTTACTAAATTATGGGGTCTCTGATATTAATTTATGTCTAGCCTATAGTTGCCTTGATTATATTTTTTACATGAACCTAAATATAAATTCAAAGTAAAAGATCACTTGTAGAACAAGCACATTTATTTTTAAATGATTTATATTGATTGACATGATTTTTTTAAACAAATTTATCTTTTCAATTTAGTTCTTCACTTAAGCTGTTAATTAAAATGTAAATATTCTCTCATTCCAGCCTTTAATTAATCTAATTAGCAGAACTAATATGGTTTGAAATTTAATTTTATGATTAATAAATTTAAAATTTGCAGAAATTTGCTTAGCTACCAAATAAACTTAAGCTTACACCAATGTACGTACAGATCAATACGTAATGAAACTAATTAACTACTGAAGTAGTATACATTAGCGGACAGCGTGTTCGTATATTTGCCTTCAATTTTTTTTTTTTTTTTTTTTTGTTTTAAATTACAAGTATTAAAAGAATTATATTTAATTCTCTTACAAAATATTTACAAAAAGATTCTGTTTTCAATAGCACACTTGATTTTGCTAATGAACTCATCAACACTCATGGTTCCAAGCTCCCCTCCAAATCTCGATCTCACAGTAACATTTTGATCTTCCACTTCCTTGGGACCCACAACCGCCATTAATGGGATTCTCTGCTTCTCTGCGTTTCTGATTAACTTTGGCAGCCGCTCTCCATGGCAAAATTCAGCTCGAATGCCCCTAGTTTTCAGTTTGCGGGTCACTTCATTGCAGAATTCAAACTGTGTAGATGCAAAATGGTGGCTTAGACTCTTTAAGTCCAAATAAAGAAAATAAAGCTAAAAACCCCCAAAAAAAGGGAAAATATGCAGTCAACACCCTGCAGTGTATACTTAAATGGAATTTGGCAAGGATTATAGTTACCTGTTTGTCTGTAACTGGCAAGACTCGAGCTTGGATTGGAGAGAGCCACAGGGGGAAATCCCCAGCATAATGTTCTATGAGGACCCCGAAAAATCTTTCCAGAGATCCAAGCACAGCTCTGTGGATCATGATAGGACGCTTTTTTTCCGAGTTTGAATCAACATAAGTAATGTCAAATCTCTGTGGCAAATTAAAATCTACCTGCAAGTGACAGGAAATCAGAGAGTAACGGATAGAGCAGTGAGAGAAAGGACATTATTGATCAATCAGAGAGATGATTTTCCAATACATGAATCTAATCCAAATTGGATAAGATATACCAACATTGGAGGAGATGCCAAGGGAAGGGGTTAAAAGCAGGATTTGAGATGGATGAAGATAAAATGAGGGGTACACAAAAGTGGGAAGACACTCCAGTTATCCGAAACTAACCCATGGCAAGAATGAAATATTGAATTTCAGCATCTTCAATTTTGAAACTTGCCTGTATGGTTGAGCACTGCCACTTCCTTCCAAGAGCATCCTCAATTTTAAGATCAATCTTTGGCCCATAAAAGGCACCACCACCTTCATCAACTTGATAGATCCAGCCCTTATCATCCAGAGCATCTCTAAGAGCAGAAGTTGCCTTTTCCCATATATCATCGCCTCCAACAGCTTTTTCTGGCCTGGTTGATAGGTTGATCTCATACTTACTAAAACCAAATTGCAATAATATCTCTTCTGTAAGATCTAGTACACCTTTGATTTCATCCTTAATCTGATCCTCTAAACAAAATATATGTGCATCATCCTGCAAAAGCATAGTTCGATTAACTTTGTCACTGTAGCATTACATCCAAACAATTGAAATTTATTTTACCACAGATGAACATACCGGAAAAGTAAGACATCGAATGCTTAATCCGAGATCTCTAGATACATAAGGTTAAAAACTACAATTAGCCAGTGCCAAGGAACAGTACTTGGCAGTTCATACCCCATCCCCTACCATAAATTCCCTTAAAAACCTGATCAGTTGACACTCACCAATCCAAAAATTAGATCCTGTAAATCCACAACCCCAGATATTATAGAAACAACAGCATGGAAGTGATATAAAGTACCTGGGTAAAACCTCTAACACGGAAAAGTCCATGTAAACTTCCAGACAACTCATATCTATAAACTGTTCCAAGCTCTGCAACTCTGATAGGTAAATCTCGGTAGGACTGAAGCTTTCTTTGGTACAGTAAAATATGGTAGGGGCAATTCATTGGTCTAAGCTGATAAAGTTCATCCTCTATCTTCATC